AGCAAGAGTTAAAGTCCTGCATTATAGCTGGCAGAAAGTATTTGAACAAATCGCAAAAACATCACCACAAAGGCTTATTACGGATAAAGCGAAAGCTCTGCTTGCGAAAACACCGCTTCCGCTAAACTACTCCTATGCTCCATGAATATCATACTGTTGCTCTCTTATAACTGTTTGGTAATATTCACGAAATATCAGTCAATTTATCGCCAAAGTGCTGATATTTCAACTCTCTCACATGCTACATTTTTGTCTTCCTGATACTGTGTTTCTTCAGCTAATGTATATTTCATTCAACAAAAATTAATGTATGACGTCGAAATATCCTTAAGAATCAAACCTAGTTTCATATATAACTTATATTCATTAGAAAGATATAGACATTTTCCGATTAGAAAATTTCGATTAGAAAGATATAGACATTTTCACGACACAATTTCCAGTAGAAGATTTTGAAAACTAACTCACAACTCGAAACTCAAATCGTATACTCATAGCATATGACTCAAATCGTATACTCATAGCATATGTAAATTCCGAAGAGAAAGTGGGAAAGTTTGCCTAGATGTGCGCTTGATGGATATTTGGCGAGGTATACAAATAATGTAACTGGGAAAGCGTTAGTGTTCCAAAGAAAATAACAACACAAGTTGTGGTGAAGAAGTATAAATTATGAGGATATCTCCTTAACAACCAATTACTGCACAAAAATACAGTACTAACCTTTCCATCAGCACGAACCATCCTTTTCCCATGTCCTGGATAAATCTTATATCCCGAATACGCACAGGTTTCTAACTTCATTTTTCAACTTTCCCTGAAAATTCGAGATATCAACAATTAGTGGAATTTAGAATACTATTACGTAAGCACAGGAATTATAGTGACAAAACAGGAAGTACCGTTCTGATCAAAATTTGATGTCAACTCAGTAACAATATAAAGGAACTTATGAATAACGTAAGCAAGTAAATAAGTAAAGCAATTAAGACTGATAAAGTGAGCAAATGTATAGAAAACGTCGTATGTATCAAGAAACGAAGCTGAAATAAACAACACAGAGTTTTCTGGATGTGTAAGTAAAATAAATAAGTAGTCTCAAAAGAGTTAGGATGATCCTTTAACAAATACCTCCTATAGCATATGCAAAAATTAGACTGTTGCCAGACTGCATATAAAAGATACTAAATTACGGTACAATTATACATAAAGCTCTATGGTAACCTGACGCCTCTGAACCCGGAAAACCGGAACTATCTAGAAAATAACACAACCTCAAAACGCACACAATATTAATAAACCTACGTATTAGACAAATTACTGTACTTGGAACTTCGCTTTGTGACTTCTGCTACGTATTGCAGCGATCCTCTCGTATAACTACTACCAATGTGACAAAGGATGTATTTTCATAATTTAATGAACAATTTCAAGAATACGAATAATATGAAATACTACCAGTTAAATTAATTGGTAGTAATGACTCAGCATAATACGGGAAATTTTTTAATTTTAATTAAAAAAATACGGAAAATTTGAAATACGGGAAATTTTTTAATTAAAATTTTATGAAAAGAAAAATTTTATTTCTCATTTTTTAATTCGTTTTCTTTTCCCTTTCATTTCATTTTTATTCATACGACCAAACATAATAATACTCGAAGAATAATACCATAGAATGATGCTTAAAATAAATTCGATAGCATTTGAGAAGCAATGATCCAATTTTTAGGATAAATTTTCTATTTAAATATACAATTCTCATAGCATATGAGGTGATAACAGATAAGAATGATAAAATAGTGATGTTATTGAAAAAAGAAAAAAAACGAAAATATCAGCAATAAAATTTCATATCATTCACTTCTTACATTAATACTCCAACACAAATAAGATCATATTTATTTCTGCCTAATATTATACCACAATTGTATCACTAATGATAATGATTTAATTGATAAATAAAATTAAATCAAATATTACTTTGCAATAAGAGATTTATTTCGTTAGTTCTTATGTTCAAACTATAGCTATCTTTTCATTGTTGGAATGAATTGATAAATTGATTAACAGATAAAGGAAATTGTTGTTTTTGGTTTCATTAATAATATTGACATAGATTATCGTAATTGGAATATATAAAAATCTTATATGATAATACAAAACGATATCAGATAATGATAACTATGTTAATACGATAGCATAAAAGTATATCAGATAATGATAATTATGTTAATACGATAACATAAAACTATATCAGATAATGATAATTATGTTAATACGATAACATAAAACTATGTCAGATAATGATAACTTATGTTAATACGATAACATAAAACTATATCAGAT